TAGGCAATGATTTTATTAATTAGAGGATTTATCCAAATTAGTAAAGGAGCGAAATATCATTCCCTAGGTTGCATTTAAAAAAATAACTTTTTGATAACAAGTGAGTCAGTATATAAAAGTCACAATAATTTGTAAATACTTAGTATATATACAATATGTGAAAGTCACAATAATTTGTAAATACTTAGTATATATATAATAAAGACATGCCATACTGACCTGACTGTGGATTAAAAAAAAACATATATATATATATATATATATATTTTATGTCCTTATAGCCAAAAGTCAAACTGATTTATGTTCTTACTTATATTTCTATCAACTATTTTAGGATCCCATCTTTAATAATACTGTAGGTAAAATTTTAGCTTTAGTGATACTATAATTGGTATAGTTTATATTATATTTAATAAAAATATATAATTAATCTGATACAGAATTAAAATAATAATAATAATAAATAAATATTAATTTAATTTTATATATATTTGATATAATATAAAATAAAAATATAAATATAAATTATAAAATAATCTTAAATAAAATTAATTTTAAGTATTAAGTTTTATATTTAAAGTTTTATTTAATTTAAATGAATTTCCATAAAATTTAACATATTAAAAAAAATTCTAGTTTTTTTTTCAAACTACTATATTACTTAACTTTTATTGATTATTAAAAGTTTCTAATCAAAGAGAATTATAAATAAAAGAAAAAAATATAATAATAAATTATAAAAATATCGTTAAGTTATTTTAAGAATAATATTAAAACTTATTTAATTAAAAAATCAAAAAAATTTTATGTAAATATTTTTTTGTATATAATTAAAAAAATAAAAAACAATTTTAATAAAATTATATTCAATGCTATTATATAAAAATAATAAAAATTCAATTATTTCTTTTTACTGATTTTTTGACTACATGTAAAAAAATATTTCAAGAAGTTTTTATACTTTTTAATCAATAAAGTTTTATTACTTTTTAAATAAAAACTTAATTGTTAGTAATTTAAAAATCAAAAAATGCCTTTTCTATTAATAACAAAAAAGTTTTAAAAGAAAAAAAATTAAAATATTACTATTTATTTACTTGTTAGAGAAATACTATAAAGTTTTGCTTTGAATAAAAAATAAAGTTTCAATTTTTTTATTCTTGTTTGGATTCTAATAATATTTATTTTTAATTTTTTTGAAAAATTTGCCTACTTTAGTTTGATTCCAAATCTTGGATAGTATAAAATTTCTTAAATAATAATTAAATAATAGTAAATATGTTAGTAAAAGAATGTAAACAAGTTTCAATTGATTATCTTACATATCCAAATGTATATCTTTGACTCTATAAGAACTTGAAGTCTACTATAAGCCATTTTTGTTATTATATAGAACATAAAATTTCTTATATCAGTGATTATTAGAAAAAAATAAACTAGAATAAGATTATTATTTAGTAAATACAATCTAATAACTTGATTATTATCTTTTTGAAATGTTTTAATATACCCATTTTTCTATTATATACTGATAATATAGTCAATTAATAATTAATATTCTTATAACAAGATCTGTACAAATCACTTTCTTTATTTTAAAATTTTTGATTTAATATTAATAAAATTAAGGCTTTATATAAGAAATCCTCAACATCAATGATATTGGATATTTAAATAAATCCTTAACTAATAATAAGTTCCTAAAATATTTAGTATATAAAATTTTGTAGATTACTTATGTCTTTTGTTGAGAAACAAAATTTACAACTCTTTATTTTAATAGGAACAAAAGTTAAAAAATGGTATAATCAATAATTTGAATAATGGAAAACAATTGTGTGTAGTTTTTTTATAATTATCAATTAATATTTTCTAATGAAGAACATTTGACTTTTGTTACTATCTTTCCCTTTAGGAACCTATTTTTATTCTTGATACATTAGCTTCTCTTTGAAAAATAGTAATAGATTACTTAGTGAGCTCAGACCTTAGAAAGTACCATGATATACTGTATATCAGATTTAGAAGTATTTTTTAATTAATTTTGTTATAATAAAGAGAAGTATCTATACTAGATAGTCATATAGTTATCTTATTCTTATCTTATTCTGGTTGAATAAAACATATAGTAAATAGTTTGCTCTTTGTACTATTTAGCGATCTGTAAATCCTTAAACAGTATGGATATTATTTATTCCAGTTGTTCCTAGATATCATTTTTATTATAATAAAACCATTTTCCTGACACAAGGAGGAGCTAGTATCTAAAATAATAATAATAATAATAATAATTAAAAAAAAACTTTTATTACTTGAAATTGACTCATTGAGAATTGCTATTGGTGGTAAATGTATATTTTAACAAGTTTTAAATCAAATCAAGCATTAAACTGTTAATAGCAACATGACCATCTCTTTACGCTTATTGAAAGTTGAATAATAATTAAACGATCATCATCTCTTTATTTATTGCTGAATTACATAACTACGTTTCATACTAAAAGACAAATCGTACATAGCATTCAAATAGCTGTTATGTCGATTTATGCAAAAAACCCAGCACATAAAAAGAGAATTACTAAAAAAAAACAAAACAATTTCTTATATTCACAACATCACCATCGTAAAACGATTAGATCGAATTGATATATTGAGGTATTAATGTCAGATGACTTTTTTTACCTACAAATAAGAACAGAAAATAGAAAATTAAGTGATCACATAGAATAGGTTCAACGTCTATATTCTATCAGCCTTTTTTCTTTGATAAAGGGCGACGGCGCATCATCATCATTCGGATCCCATAAAGCAACTTCCTGCTCCGTTCGTAATCTCTTTTGTGGGATCTGATTCGAGACTATAGAATTCTGACTAGCAGATTGCAAGGGTTCTATAGTACGGAATATCAGCTTTCTAGGTTTGTTCTTCTGAAGTTCCTGTTGGAATCTTTTGGATGGCTTGGTTCCAATGTCCGAAAGGGTTCTCTTTAGCGGAGGAATTCTGATTTCTATATGAACAAATCATAAATATTTGTTTTTGCCGCAAAAATTTGTTAAAGACAGAATTTGAATCATTCACACTTTCTATGAAAATGTACAATATTATTTTTTACCAGTTTGTTGTTGTCCATCTTTTGATTTGACTTCGCAAGAACTGTCTACAATATTTATAGTTTGCACGTTCTCCCGTAAAGTTGCGTCCCTTGTTTTCTTTAACTCGCTTTTTTGACGTTGAAACTCCAAAAAGCTACACTTTAACTCTTCTTTATTTGCCACATTCTCATTGGACACATTCTCTTTTTGTTTATGTTCCTCCTTTATCCGTTGAAGTTCCAAAAATTCAATCTTGAGCTCTTCCCTCTGACGTTCGACTTCCATGTTAAACTTCTCGGTGTGATGCTTGACTTCTGCTTCAAATTGTTCCTTTAGAAGTTGAAGCTCTGAAAAACCATTTCTTAGTTCCTCCTCCTTAGCAGCTAGTAACATATTAAATTCATCACGCTGTTTTATTCTGGAATTTAACTCTTCTTCACGTGCGCATAAAACTGTTTCCCTGTAATTAAGTTCTTCTTCACGCTGGCTTACTATAGAGTTTACCTCTTCTTCACGCTGTTTTATTCTAGAATTTAACTCTTCTTCGTGCCGTTTTATTCTAGAATTTAATTCTTCTTCACGTATGCGTAAAGCTTCCTCCCTGCAATTAAGTTCATCTTCACGCTGTCTTATTCTAGAATTTAATTCTTCCTCACGGCGTTTAAAGTCTGAATTTCTAAATTGACCATAAAATTAAACTCAAAATATAAAGAAACAAGCCCTATAATAAAATTATGATGCTAACGATTGCAGTAACTCGAGCCGTTCTTTGCAACTTCTTATTCTCTCTAATTTAAAAAACTCCGTCGTGTTTGGTCGGCTAACTGGCTATAATAAAATACATAAAATTATTCAAATGTACAGCCTAATCCATTCGTCGCATAATGAAAATTATTAATTATCTTACATCAATTTCTAACATCGCTTTTACGACTCGATTTAGCTCCTCCGAATACTGTGGCGGTAAAGGTGAAATTTTACCCGTTTTAATTTTACATATCAAGGCTGGTGGCGATTTGGCCTGAAATGGACGTCTTTGGTAAAAAATATAACCGTATATAAATAACATTTCGTGTTTTATTGTGCTCAATCATTTTAAGGCTAATACTCACTGTAAAGCACAAAGCTCATATAGGAGACATCCAAGGGCCCATATGTCCGATTTAACATCATAATGTGATTCGCTTATTAATTCAGGTGACATATAGAAGGGAGTCTGTTATTTTGAAATATTTTATTTTAATCAATATAAGAATAAAGAATTTATGAATAAGTTTTATTAAAGGAACTTACGCCAACCCATGTCTGTGCAAGCTCTCTATCCGGATTCAAGATTCTTGACAAGCCGAAATCGCCCAGTTTAATATGATTATTGGCATCTAAGAAAACTTTGACGCAAAAAAATATTGTATTGACAAGAATATGTTATGATAGATCTCTCTGCGACAACATTATCATAATCGCCAATTTGATGATAATACTTTTAATCTCGTGAATTATGAACCGTCTTACCATTATCCGGTTTAATGTCGCGATGGAGAATTGTGGTGTGTTCATTTGATGAGGAATCATTTTTGCTACTACCATATCCACAATGGCATTCGTGAAGTGCTTGCAGTATTTGCGTGAAGAATAGCCAGATGCTGTCTTCTGGCAGATAATTCCTTTACAAAGGAGAAAACCAATTAGGAATCCAGAAATTTAATAACAGACAAAAGTTATACATGCATGTATGCGTAAATGTACCCTTCTTTTTTATACTTTCTAATTAGGGAAGAAAGGTCACCGCCTTCACAGTATTCCATAATTATATAAATCATACAATTTACATTATCTACATATCGATCATAGTATCTTACTATGTTTGGATGCTTAAGTTCGCGAATAATATTAACTTCCGATACAAGTTGTTGTTTTTCTTTGTCATTCATCCGCCGATAATCGATTTCCTTACGAGCCAGTATCTATCAAAGGATTGCTTTAATCAAAGTATAATATAAAAAATTAATATTAAACGATAAACCACACCTTTCCATCATGCTTTCTTCGTACTTTGCGAATTAGTCCGAACGATCCTGTACCAATGATTTCCAAGGGCTCGTAAGTTTCCATTTTGCAAACAGAAATTCATATCATTCCTCGATCACGCATATTAATCACGTGTAAAAAACAAACAAATATCACGCACTTTATAATCACGTGATAAATACGTAAATTAATTTTGTACTGCGACAAATTAATTCAAAAAAACTATGGATGCCCCGAACACTTTAGTTGTAGACAACGGGACGGGAGTAAGTTGACAAAAAAAAATTCCGCTACCCTGCAAAAGCAAGCAACGCGTGCATCGGTTACCGGAAACTTTCAAATTTCTAATGTACAAAATTCTAATGTCACTTTTTTTGGAAATGAATTTACCAGTTTGTAAAAGTTGGCTATGCTGGTTCCAATTTTCCCCAACATGTGTTTCCCTCTGTTGTTGGAAGACCAATTCTTCGGGCCGAAGAGAAAGTCGGCGACGTAGAGGTCAAGGATATTATGGTTGGTGATGAAGCAGCCGAACTTCGTTCAATCTTGCAAATGTCATACCCAATGGAAAATGGCATAATAAAGATATGGGAGGACATGAAACATTTGTGGGATTATACCTTCTACGAGAAATTGAAGGTTGATCCTAAGGATTGTAAAGTTCTGTTGACCGAACCTCCAATGAATCCGCTTTCCAACAGAAGGGAAATGGTACGGTTAATGTTCGAAGAGTATGGATTTCAAGGAGTATATGTATCGATTCAGGCTGTATTAACCTTGTATGCTCAAGGTGACCAATAACACCATTCTTTTCTTTTAATTTATTTTTACTTGAGCATGATCAATTCTGATACCTACCCTTGTGAAATAGGTCTGCTTACTGGTGTAGTAGTCGATTCTGGTGATGGCGTAACTCACATAGTTCCTATATTTGATGGTTTTGCCCTCCAACATCAAACACGTCGACTTGATGTTGCTGGCAGGGATGTAACAAGATATCTTATAAAGTTGCTTTTGTTAAGAGGCTATGCTTTTAATAGAACTGCCGATTTTGAGACCGTGAGACAAATTAAGGAAAAGTTTTGTTATGTAAGGTACGACAGATATATATTCTATTTTATTTTGTACTTGCTAGTAATTGTAATGCTCGCTTTCTAACCTCATTAAACATTCTTTAGCTATGATATTCCGTTGGATCAGAAATTGGCAAATGAAACTACCGTACTCGTGGAAAATTATACGGTATTAAAATAAATTTTTTTTGAAAGAAAAAAAAATATTTAAAGTTCTTTACTATACTTGGAAATTTAATACAGGACTTGCTTTCAGCTACCTGATGGGCGAGTCATCAAAGTTGGGTCTGAACGATTCGAGGCACCCGAATGTATGTTCCAACCCCATTTGATAGACGTAGAAAAACCCGGCGTTGCAGGTTTGTGAAGTTCAGAAATCACTCTAGAGATAATCAACATTTGTTAAAATTCACTAATTTTACGTTCGTATAATTCAAGAAATGCTTTTCGAAGCTATTCAGGACGCGGCGGTTGATATCCGTTCAGAATTATATAGGCATATTGTCTTGTCTGGTGGTTCATCTATGTATCCTGGTCTACCAAGTCGCCTTGAAAAAGAGCTTAAACAACTTTATTTGGAGAGAGTGGCTCAAGGCGATACTTCGAGGTTGAAAGTAAGAAGTGTTTCTAGGCATTCATATTAAAACAAGATTAAAATGCAGACATTCATATTTATTTATTTATTTTTTTTTTTTTCAGAAATTGAAGATTCGGATTGAGGATCCCCCGGGTCGAAAACATATGGTGTTCCTTGGTGGTGCAGTTTTAGCTAATATAATGAAAGATAAACAGTCTTGGTGGATTACCAAAAAAGAATGGGAGGAAGAGGGTGCTCGTTGCTTGGATAAGTTAGAAAATCGTGGGTCAGCTTAAAATTAATTTAATTTTATCTTTTCCTGGCGGTTCTATCGGTATATTACTGTTGATTTTAGGATGTAGAATTTTATATTTAATAGGCTTGAACCAAGAAACATGAATACTCGGTAATTTTTAAACAATTTTTATGCATCAATAAAAATTCTTTTATTATATTGTGTTGTAATAAAACAAAATTATTATGTAATTATGTATTATATATTTAATAAAACTTTTTTTATTAATTGATTATTATTTAAATTATTAAGTAGAATTATAAATTAAACCATTTAAAAAAAGCATATATATATATTTTAATATACGTATATTTTTGTATTATCCGTAGCCAAGCTAGATACATGAATTTATTAATCAAAAGAATACATAAGAATACAGTATATTTATTTAAGTAACATTATATACAATATATTATGACCAAATCAAATTACTTTGAATTTAACTTTTCATTAATATTAAAAGTTTATAAGTTTGAAATTGGAAAATAATATTTTTGTTTTATAATTTGAATTGGAACTCTCCTATATTACATATTATAGATAGCAATTTGTTATTACTATATATTCCATAAATTATTAGATAGTAGAAAATTATAAAAAAAGTAGATTAATAAAAAAAAGAATAAATGTTTAAAAATATAAAAATATATTATAAAAAAAAATTTTTTTTTATCAAAAATTTTTTAAGGAATTATATTTAAAACCTTTTTTTGGTTTTTTGGTTTTTTTTTTTTTTTTATCCTCTGTTAGGCTAGTTATGTATGCTTTATTAAACATTTGTAAGCTGTATATATTATATGAGACATTAAAGCTAATTCATTAACTAACTCACTTGTCTTGATTGTTTTACCTTTCTAAGTGTAACTTCGGGAGTAATTTATTGCTCTATTAGAAGTTCAGGTAAATATCCTTTCAACTTTTAACATAATTGCTTGCAGATCACTACTGCAAATTACTTTTTTAAGTTTTGACAAAGATTAAAACCCAACCATTTCATTTCATACTTTATCCTATCTTGCAGGATCTGTTTGAGCATCATGTTTTCTAATTATTTTTTCCTTAATAATATTTGATATAACTAATTTTTTGATATCTTGATCCTATTTTTTTGACTCTGTAGATATATTGGCCTTTTAATCTTATTATCTTTATCAATTTTCAACATCTGTTTTTACTCTATCACCTTCTTGCATTTGATGGTTCAAATTTTCTTTCTGAAGTGGTTATATGTTTTCTTCTATATCTTCATTATCCACTTTCTTGTTTCTTTACTAATTCTCTTTTCATAACACTTTGAGTCTACTATCTCATTCATTAGATCTTTTTCAATTAATCCCATACAGAAGCTAAGTATATCCCAATCAGTGTTTGAGATCCTTTCTACTAGTCAAGCTATTTTCTTATTCATTTCTTCTCTTTTCATTCTGTCATCAATTGCTAGACTTATCTTTTTTTCTTCTAACTTCTTTTTTCATCTGCCAAGAGTTTGTTGAAACCGTATATATCTTTATACCCTACTGCCAGGCTTCTTGCCACTGAGTTTTGTATGATAGATATTTTAGCAAGTATTCTATTGTCTTTTCTTGCTGTTTACATATGAGACATTTTACTTGTTTATATAAGTCTGATCTTCTTGTGACTAGTTTTGTTAATATGGATAGCTCATTGCTAATTATCTTAACAAAAAGATTTTTTTTTTGTGATTTTTTGAAAGAGGTATTCCATATATATTCATTATTCATTTGTTTTCAAACTAGGTCCTATATGTACCTGTGCTAGTCTTGAATTTGATAACCCCACTTTTTTTCTATTCTGTTTTGAATTATTCATTGATGCATTATTATTTTGGCATTGGTTTTTTTAATAAATTGCCTTATTGAAGTATCCAGTACTATATTTTGTTATTTGATTTCAATAATAATCTTAGATAAGTCTAGATCTTGCCATTTTATTGTTGAGAATTTTAATGCTTTTCTGGTTAAAGTGTCTGTTTTCTTATTGTATTGAATATTAGAGTATGCTTTAACCTTAATAAGATTTGAATTTATTTTTTTTTTCTTTATCAAGCTCAACATTCATACCTACAAGAATCAATTTTGTTCCTTTAATCATCTTTTTAAGTTTTTTTGAAGTTCACTTTTTTATAGTTTTCCATTTAGAGATACAAACTTGACTGTCAATGTGGATCTTAATTTTGCTATTAACTGGTACTACTAGCAGTATAGTGATTATCGCTACTAGTTCTGCTCTTGTAGATGAAGGTCAATTAGCTACTTCTGCTTGGAACTTACTTTTCCTTTCTACTTCTCTAATTTATATTTATGCCATACCCATTTTTATGTTTTTATTTCTATGATCAACAAGAAATTTGTTAAAGTAAAAAATCATTGTATTATTGCTATTATCCCTCTTGTTACACTTGAATATTTCAATTAAATGGGTTTGATATGTATCTTTTTTAATATTCTCTTTAATAAGCTTCTTTATCCAGTCTTCTATCTCTACTTCTTCTAGTTGTTTTCTATTACATTGTATAGTTACTTAGTCTATATGAATTGTTCTACTTATTGTTTCCTCTAGGGCTATCTTGAAATAAGGAATTTCTAAGAGCTGAGCTCTCCTTGTAAATTTTCTATATTAAAATAAGAAACTATATATATTTGTTCTATATTTGATTCTACTATGCATTGGTTTTTAGTCTTGATCCCTTTTGGGTAGCCCTGGCATTATATCAGATTTGATTCTAAAATTTCCTTGAAATTGTCACATATGAAATGATCTATTTTAATACATCTTTTATTGTTATCTAGAATTAACTTTTTCAAATAAATTGTCACTATTGATTATTGCTCTTAATAACCACTCAAAGTTTTTGTTTTTTATTAAGATTGAGATTGAATACTGGATGTTTTGAACTTTACTTTAACCAATCTTCTTTTCAAAATCTTATGAACTGTTCTAGCTTATTCTCTTATATCTCTTTTGTTATTAAAAAGTATCATTCTGAAATAGATCCCTTATTTATCTTTTGCAAGAGTTGGAGCATTTGCCAGTTCCATACTTCTCTAGTTTCATAGTTGATAAGCTAATCTACTGTATATATATCAACTTATTGTGTTTAAGTGATTAAATAGCTTTACTGTATTGCTTTTACTAGATAATAAATCTTCTCAGATGGTATATGAGAAGAAAATTAAGATCCAGAATAGATAAGTTTCTTAGACAATCAGAAAAAAAAAAATATCACAATTAGATATTTCTTATTGAGAAGAGATCTTGAGAAGCAAGTCTTTGGAGTAAGCTAAAAATATTTTTTTCAATTTTTATCTTTTCATTTTCTTGTGGTCTACTTAGACATTTTTAGATATCACATATCCTTTTTTTCAACTCATCCTTTTGTAGTTTCTTGTATTTCAATGGCTTGGATTAATATATAGCAATGACAACCTGCTGGCAATGATGTAGTGGACTAGAAGGATCTTTATTCAAATATATTACAGAACAAAATATTGTCCCTAAGGTTAAACTTAGAGGCTATTATGCTTACAATGAGTTAGTTAGATTATAATAATAGTTTAGCTATAGTATGTTTTTTTTTTTTTTTTTTTTTTTTTTTTTTAACCCGCAATCATGTCACAATGGCATGTCTTTATTGAAAAATTGAAAATAAATT